TGACTCATTGCAATGAACACTTGTGAGTAAGCTTGTATGGACTAAAGAGTATACTGTGTGACTCACTGTGTCAACTAAAGTCCCAACTATGAGATATTTTTCTTTCAAATTTTATTTTATTTAAATTTATTTTATTTTATTTGGGGGCATTGCAAGGGCACAGGGTGGATATGAAGGGACAAGGTGATAAATAGAATGGGGATACACGAGGTGAAATCCACAAAGAATTAATAAAAACTAAAAAAAAAAAAAATAAACCCTTACAAAACCCCACAGGATATCCAAAATCATTCTGAATAATAAAATAACTGCTGGAGGGATTTTCATCTGTGATCTCAAATTGTACTAGAGAACAACAGTAATAAAAGCAACATGATATTGGCATAAAAACAGACATGCCAATCAATTCAACCATGTATGGACACCAGATTTTTTTTTTTTGTAGAGAAGCCAGAAATGCACACTGGATAAAAGACTGCATCTTGTCCATCCAGTAGAACTATTGATTCTATTCATTTATCTTTCCTAAGGAGATTAATCCATTCTCCCCTAGTTTCTTACTCTCTAATGAACCTCTGTGATTATATGGAATTGTAGGTTGCTTCTCATTGACTCAAGAACTGGCATTCACATATAAGAGAATATGTACACTATTTGTCTCTCTGTACCTGAGTGACCTCACTCAGGATGATTTTCCCCCCTCATTCCATCTATTTACTTCTGAATCTCATGATTCAGGAGGGGGGACACTGTAATGGGAAGACAAAACAGAGCAAAGGAAGGGAGAGGGCAGCAAGAAAGTGAATATATAGAAGGACAGTGAAAACTAAAGGCCATTTGAGGGGTCATAGAGAAACTTAATACAGTAGAAACTTCTTTCAATTTATACATATAGAAATATAATATAAATAAAATCACCAAATACTTGGGGAAAGAGAGTCCCAACTGCCTATCATTCATTAGCAAATTCCAGTACTAGAAATGGACTACATTGAATAGATCTTCTGGCCAAAAGGATGCCATAGGAACCCCCAAAGGGCATAGTTTATTGACAAGGATATTGATGGCTGCCCACAAACTGACAGTAAGGTCTTATTGCTGAAGAAAACACATACACAACTCATTAAGCACAGAAAAATAGAGATTTGACTACCTAGATCCTTCACCTCTGTGAACTAATAATATTCATGGAATTGGAAGGTACTCAGCTCACAATATCAAAATAGAAACATAAATCCTTACCCAGCTATCAACCATCCATTTATAAAAGTGGCCTGCCTGAAAGACATGCTGGTGCAGCACAGGTACAAAGCTTGTGCAAGTAACCAACCAATATCTGATTTGAGTTAAGGTCAACTCCATGAGGTGAACCCCATATCCAATGCTGCTTAAATGGTCAAGAACCAGAGACAGGATAGGGCAGTAACCTAGGGGAAAAAAATACTACTGTTCTGTAAAAGGGATGAAGCAATAAAATGACTCCTAATGATATTCTGCTACACTCAGATCAGTGCTTTGCTCAGCCACCATCAGAGAAGCTTCCTCCTACAGTAGGTAGGCACAAATACAGAGACCCACAGCCAGACAGTGTACACAAATGAGAGGCCTTGAAACTCTTCATCATAATGGGACGTCTCCATCAAGTCTCTCCCCTCAGGACTCAGGGAACTCTACAGAAGAGGAGGTGGAAAGACCATGAGAGCCAGAGGGGATGGAGGAACCAAGAAAACAAGGTTTTCACAACAGAAGGTTGTACATATGAACTTGGAGAGACAGTGTCAGCAGGAATAGGGCCCGGATGGTTTTGTATCAGATGGGGTCAGAGACCTGAAAAGGAGAAGTGGACAAACTCCCCCATCCCTTCTGGGAAGCTGCTCACAATTGATAGGCATTTACAAATGAAAAAAAGTAGTTTTCTCCAAGGGAGAAACAAAACATTCCCCAGGGTGGTGCCCATGCTCAGCAGTAGGTGGGGAACACAAAACAAACTCAACAGAATCTTTGGATGCTCTTTTTTTGTGCCCCATATTTTGTTCCATATTTTTAAGTCAGGGATTTTTTTTCCTTTTGTCTTATAAGTCATTTTTGTATATATTATGGATTTTGGTTTGAAATTTTTAGGGGATTTCTGTGTGAGAGAATGTGTCTCAGTGTCTGTATGTGTTTCTTTTACTTTTTCCTTGTTTTTTTCTTGTTTGGCAATTTTGGTATAGTGCAATTTGTTTATTTTTAATTTATTCTATTATATTGCACTTTATTTTATTATTTATTGAATGCCTGTTTGTTTTCTGGATAGATAAAGAAAGAGGAGAAAGATTTGGTTGGTGGGGAAGAATTGGAGAAGTAGAGAAGGGTATAATCAGAATATATTATATGAAAAATCTATTTTCCTCTTTTCCATTCTTTTTAAAATATAAAAATAAAATACGATAAGGTAAAACAAAAATTATCACATTGAAGTTGAACAAGACAAAAGAACAGAAGGAAAAGAACACAGAGGAAGGCACAAGAATCATAGATTCACTCATTCATATACTCAGGAATTCTATAACAACACTAAACAGGAAGACATAATATACAGAAAGGACCTGGTGCAGACCTGTGCATGCTATAATAAGAAAACATAATACAGTAGAAAATTTCATTTATACACATGAAAATGATATAAATAAAATCCCTAAATAATGGGGTAGACAGAATCCCAAGTGGCCATCTCTTGTCACCAAGCATAGCTTCCACTGGTTGAGAAACAACAAACAAAACTTGTTGAGATGGAGTTGCATCTAATTGATTTGTTGACCAAAGGGGTCCCATGAGAATCTCTAAATAATGCAGCCTGTTGTCAAGATAATAAGTTGCTCTCCACAAATTGACAACAAGGTCCCACTGCTAAAGGAAACACCTATACAACTTACTAAGCTTGAACAAGTCACTCTGGTGCCTCCACAGAGCCTTTGCCCCTACGTTCGAGCATCTTTGGTATCCTACCAAAAGGAAACATAAGCACCAAAACAGCCATAAACCCTTTGATCTACAGTGGTACCCTGCCTGCAAGATTAGCTAATGCAATAGTGACACAGAGCTTGTGGGAGTGACCAACCAGTATTTGATTAGAATAAAGGCCCACTCCAAAAATTATGACCCATTTCTGACACTGCTTGAGTGACCAAGAACCAGAGAATAGATCGTCTAAGGACTCAGGATACAACCAAATGAAACTGGTTGTAAAACAAGATAAAATTAGTGGGCAAAGAAACCCCCTATTTTCAATAAAATAAAAAAAAAGAATTCAAAGCATCATTATTTTCAGATGATATGGTACTTTATATAAAAGACTCTGAAGACCTCACCAGAAATCTCCTACAGCTCATAAACACATTGAACAAATATAAAGATAAAAGTATAACACTTAAAAATCAGTAGATTTGCTATTTAAAAGACAAGCATATCAAGAACAAAATCAAGGAAACAGTCATATTCAAAACTGCCTAAAATGTTGTGTAATAAAAGTAACCAAGGAAGGGAAAGATTTGCACAATGAAATTTTAAAACAATGAAAGAACTTGAAGAAGATATCAGAAGATGAAGGTACCCCAATCTCATGGTTGTCAAATATAGATGTTGTTGGAGGCCACTCATTCGTTCCCAGGTGCTTAGACCCAAAATAATCACACAGAAACTGTATTATTTGCCATACTGTTTGGTCAATAGCTTAAGCACTTTTCTAGCTACCTCTTATATCCTAAACTAATCCACCTCCATTAATCTGCTTCACCACCAGGTCATGGCTTACCAGCGAAGTTTCAGCAGGCTCCAGAGGAGGCATTTGTGTGCCTGTGGCAGCTACATGGCTTATCCTGAGTCTGTCTCCTGCAGTAGTTTCATGGCTTCTCACTGGTTCTGCCTACTTTGTCCTCTATCTCTGCTTGGGATTCTGCCTTACTCTATTCTGCTAAGCCACTGGCCAAAACAGCTTTATTCATTAACCAATAAAAGCAACACATATATAAAAGGACTTTCCACACCATACAGGGAGATACAAGAGCTGCCAAACACCTGTAGTTGGAAAACACATATTCATGTCTTCTATCTGGGCAAATCAATAGACACTTCCAGATGATGGTGTTAACCTTGGTAACCATTACTATTACCATAATCCATGGCATTACCCTCTTTGTGGACTACCTTTAAAGCTCCCAAACTAGCCTCCACTGGTTGGTGTCATTTGTTCCATGCCTTGGTATAGCAACAGTACAGATACCATCCACTATCCTTAATAGGAAAAATCAGCCAGACAACCATTGTTTTAGGCTCTGAAGCTACCAGAAGTTCAGAACTTTTCCATAAGTTTTCAAGGCTTTGGTATTGTCAGAGCTATAGAGAGAGTTCATAGAGAGAGTTCAGTTCAGTGCTATAGATAAAATCATGATCTGCAGTGTTTTCCCATAAAGGATGCCTAAAGTCTCATTGTCTTCATCATTGAAGGAAGACAATAAGAAAGACAGCCGTCAACGGCAAGTTACTTTCTAGTTAGCCGAATTTGGACTTACATGTTTCTGTAAAATTATGCTCTGGAAAGCTATGGACTGGGAACCGTCAATAAATTAATGACTGCTTTGGAAAGTGCTTAACTCAAAGGTGATTCAACACAGATCTTTCCCTACCTAAGAAACAAGCAGCCAGGTTCAGGGAACAACAGAATCTGACAAGTTTAACTCTGACTGCTTCCATCCTAAACAGGAAAAAATGAGTGAGAAGGCTGTGTGACTCACTTTTAGCACTTAGTGATTTCATCTTCATTCAAATGAATGTAAGATTCCCAGTGAACCACATGTAAATCTGTTGGAGAAGTAGGCGTACTGTTGGGATTTGTGTCTACTTTTATTTGTAAGAAAAATAACTGAGTAAGGAGTGGCTCTTTTTTTTTTTTTTTTTTTTTTTTTTTGTCTTTCCGGACACTGCTCTAGTTACAGGAAATAAGCTGCTCTAGTTGAGAAGCTGGGGAAATCGAAAGCTATGAACACTGCTGGGAGGAGTCCTATTTCATCACCACTCTCCCCAGGGAAACAGCACAGGATCAGACATCTAGCACTGCTCAAATCAGGAACTTACTTTGTAACCAGTTTCCTTGTCTTCCTTGTTATTTAGTAGATATTACATTTTCTCAGCATTTAATGAGAGTCCAGCACCCTGCTGTGTACTTTTTGAGAGATTTATCATCCTACACAAAATAGACAAGCCCTATTTCCTGCCTTGTTGAGGATCTACAATCTGGACGTTACTGAGAAACTTCCGGGAGGTAAGTTCTACCCTTGAATACAAGGAGTAGCTCTGTGAAACCAACAAGGAGGCAGGAGATCACTGTGGGTTCTTCCAGTGCAGGGTGGGGGAGCAGAGAAGGCTCTAGCTGCAGTGAAAACCTGCAGCTGGGTTCGAATGCTTCAGGCAAGAAGATGGCAGACATGCTTGTTCCTCCATCTCTGGAGTTTGAGGCAAGAAAAGATGTGTTTTGATTACTGCAAATTGTAAAATAAACTTTCTAAGTGTAAATATAAATAAATAGAAAAATAGAAGAAGGCTTTCGCTATCTGGGCTGAAGAGTTAGCAGAAACCTGGAGGCCATGACACATGTCTGAGGAAAGGACAAGGAAATGATATGAAGAATTGCCATGAAATAAAATTGAATAAAAATGCTTCTGCACATGGGTCTGTATTATCTAGTAATATCTTAATAATAAACAAGATGAGAGTCAGTGGACATACGTAATAAAAATTTCTAAGGTGCCTAAACCCAGTTATTCAAATACATCCTGTTTTAATAAGCATATTTAATACTGTTTTAATAAGCATATTTAATATTATTTAGTCACTGGGAGAAATTTTCTGTCATCATAAAAGTTGTTTTTGGTTGGTTATATTTTATTAGTTTGGGGTTTTTGTCATAAGATATAAGGGATATTAAAGACAGCTAAATAGAAATATATTTCTACTGTCTACTTTTATAATATTTTAAACACTTTTTGTGTCCTCTCACACAGCACTACATATGTTCCTGAACTTCATAATTTAAATGTCTATTTGAGAGTTGTACCCATATTAAACCCATATTTCTAAGGTTAGCAGTTGCTCAAATTTTCTGGACTTTTGCAGATGTTTTCACATAGTCATTCAGTTATTTTTTTCTAAAAATAAATTAGATTTTTAGATTGTTTAATGTTACCAATAATAAAATATTAAAATACTACTTTCAAAATTCTAAACTTTTCTAAAACTGACTTAAACAAGAGGAGTCTATGATAAGATTTAGCAACAGTAACATGGTTGCTCAACAACAGTATCAATTCACTCTGACACCTTGTCCCAAAGGTCATTAGTGACTGGAATGATTTTTTTTTCTTTCTTGCATTTATTTGCCTACAGCTGCTATCTAGTTAATAATTAGATGACTAGGAGGGCAAATTGTGCCTGCCATGAAATGGAGTCTTTAGATGTAAGACACACCACACTTTCCAGACCACATTAGATATGCATTGTTTCCATAAACACCTCAATATTCTCAGTGCCCGTTTCTGAAGAAGACCCTCTCTGACCACTGAAGAGTCACACTTTAGCCTAACTTGTTTTCCCACAAACCTATGTACCACGGCTTCTGTTATTGACACACTGTTATATTCATCACAAAACCATGGGATCCCCTTTTGATTTTTTTTCAAATTCACAGGTATGTGTGCTCTCAAAGACATTGAATGTATATGATGCATGTATGTGTGTTGATAAGTGTACTTATGTCAAAATATATTTCATGTTTTCATAGAGATGTGAAGGAACAGAATAATAAGAAAGAGCATGCACAATTATTAGTAGACAAATCCATAATTAAAACTGTTATATCCTTCTAGGATGGGGAGGTTTAATCATACTTTGGTATTTGATAAGAGTTTTACCTTCATTTCTTTTAAATCTTCACTAATGTAAGATAATCAGAGTTATCTTTAGTTTCTAGTTATTTCTTTATTTTTCCATTGTTAAAGAAAGTTTTAAAACAACATAGGGGTACATTTCTTAAATAACATTTCAAAGAAGTTGTCGTTGGACTGGTTAGACTTTTCGTTATGGGCTGCTAAGCAGCAGGTTTCCGTTCTGCTTCTGCCACGGTCATTTCACTGTAGGATGTCTCTATCTCACATCAACAAACTGTATGTCCTCTTTCATCTGCCCCTCAACCATGTTATGTACTTCCTCTTTGACCTTAATTTTAATCAGATATTTATTTTTAAGTATATGTGTGCCTAATCATCAAGTTTGCAGTTTTCATTAAGAAAACCATTTTCTTTTTCTTTTCTTCTTTCTTTCTTTCTTTTTTCTTTTTCTTTTTTCTTCTTTCTTTTGTTTTTTGTTTTTTTTCAGACAGGGTTTATCTTTGTAACAGCCCTAGCTGTTCTGGAGCTAGCACTTGTAGACCAGGCTGGCCTTAAATTCACCTTGAGATATGCCTACCTCTGCCTCCTGAGGGCTGAAAAGGCAGTATGCTACACCACCGCCCAGCTAAGAACTGCATTTTTTTTTTTTTTTGGTTTCTCACTTTTGTTAGTTCTTTGAAAGAGTCTTACAGTGGATTTTGCTCATATTTATCCCCTTCCACAACTCCTTTGAGATACATACTCTCTTTCCTACATATCTAACTTCGTATCTCTCTTTATCTTTAAAACTTTAAAAATGCTTAACTCACTTTTGGGGCGTCCCTTTAACATGATTGATTCTCCCTCTCCCAGAAACTATCAAGTGCCAAAAACTCCTTAGAAGGTTAAAGTGCTTTGTGATGACCCCCTCTCATTTCATGCTAGGATTTTTCCTGACTTAAACCTTCACAGACTTTAGGATGCTGCCACAACCACTCTGAGTTCACAAGTTCCTGCCTGCTCAGCTGTGTTTACACTGTGTCCCTGTAGTCATCCAAAACCTCTGTCTCTTAATTTTTTTTTTCTTCTCGTCTTCTTAAAGTTTTCCTGAGAATGAGGGAAAGACTGGAGATGACTTTTCTCTGCTGGTAGCATGCCCAGCATCTTACAGCACTGTAGAGCTAGCCAGTGGGAATGGAGCTTCAAGGTCAGGTCAGTACCAGCTGCTGTCCCAAGTTCAAGTATGCAATGTCTCACTCAAGTTCTGGAAGGAAACCAAAAGCACTGGCAATAGCTTGTAGTATGTGTGTTGGTGTATGGATGTGTGTGTGTGTGTGTGTGTGTGTGTGTGTGTGTGTGTGTGTTCGGAGGGTATTATGGGACCTCACCAATCAACATCTCCAAAGTAAACTATTCCTGACACTAGAATTCTTTTTTGTTAGCTACTAGTCTCTAATAGGATCATTGTAATTCATTAAATGAAGCATATTAAATGTAATACCTTTAAACCTTTTTTATATAGGTACACCTTTATTTTATGAAGCATATACAGTATTAGTTTCCATATAATTTTTGAAAGGTCTTTAGAATTAGCTATTCTGATTACATATCCCCTCCACTATTCTGCCACCACACTCTCCAACCACACTTAACTCTACTGTTCCAACATGCCACTTTGCCCCTTTACACCACTTCATTTTTTCCCATTTCGCTTGAAAGCAGCACTTATAAATTATAGTTTTCCTTCATTGTTCATCAGGTCTCACACCAGTACAGTATAAAACACAGTGCAATGTTTTAAAATCCCACCTTCTTTAAATTTTTCAACACTTTAGAGAAATCCAAAGTCTCTTTAAAATTCTGAGGTATCCTAAATGTAATTATAAACTGCTGTAAAACAAAAAGTGAGGCAAATACTTTCTTTGTCCAAGGGAAGAATCTGGGCATAGGAACAATAAGATATAGACAAAACCAAAATCCAGTGATGAAATTCCAAATTCTGTAGTTCAATGAGTTTGGAGGCTCCCACACCTCAAAACAATCTCAAAATTGCAACACAGCAGAGACTCCCCACTTTCTTCAACAGTAGGACAAGGTTATTTCAGATCTTTGGTCTAACTATAAGTTCAGAGCCTCCCATTTTTTACTTTCCATGTTGTCATTAAATAGGCCCATTATCTATTATCTTTATCCATAAATAAGGCAGAACACTATGAATGTATTAACTTGGTCATCTGAGGAGGAGCAGCTTCACTATAGAACATAGAGCAGCAACAGCTAGTGTAAAATTATTTTCTATTTACTGAAGGCTAAATGTGCAACATCCTGCTTAAACAGTCTTCTAGTTTAGGAACTAGTGAAAGATACGGAAATGCTTTAATAAGTGCTTAAACCAAAAATACCTACAGCAAAGATGTTCCTCTACCTAGGAAAGAGATTCAGTTCTTTGTGGTAATAGAACCTGCCAAATTCTCCTCCTGTCTCCTCCACCTTTAGAGGAATAGAGGAAGTGTCTGTGTGGCTCACACTTTTTCTCTTAGAAATTACCTTTATTCAAAGGAAGGTTTTGCTCAGTTTTCCAAGATAAGTCTGCTGGTCATGAAAGTTAAAGGGTTTAACATTCAACCTATGAAGACATGTAAGAAAAATAACTGAGCCCAGCAGAGATTTTTTTTTTTCATTGTAGGGATGTATATTCAACTTGGAAACCCTTCAATCTCACTAGGTAGGAATGCCAAAAGATAAGAGTAGTGGTAGGCATGTTCACTTTTGCAGCCTTCCATTCCCTAAGGAGAGCACAGTGCAAGACATGCAGGGCTGTGCAACTTGAAGTACAGTGAAACCACTCTGACCAGTGTCATTCTTCCCATCTTTTAAACTACTTCCTGTTCTTGGCAGTTCAGGGATTGCAACAACCTTGTTTAGTCTCGGAGAGATTTATTGGTTTAACTTTTTAAAATTTTATTGAGCTCTACATTTTTTTCTGCTCTTTTCCCTGCCTCTTCCCTTCCCTACAACCCTCTTCCAAGGTCCCTATGCTCCTAATTTACTCAGGAGATCTTGTCTTTTTCTACTTCCCAAGTAGATTAGATCTATGCATGCCTCACTTAGGGTCCTCATTGTTCTCTAAGTTGTGGGGTAAAGGGAACACTTCTGCATTGCTGGTGGGAGTGCAAGCTGGTACAGCCCCTTTGGATGTCAGTGTGGTAATTTCTCAGAAAATTAGGAAACAATCTTCCCCAAGACCCAGTAATACCACTTTTGGTTATGTATTCAAAGGATGCTCAACCATGCTACAAAGGGCATGTGCTCAGCTATGTTCATAGCAGCATTGTTTGTCATAACCAGAACCTGGAAACAACCTAAATGCTCCTTGCCTGAAGAATGAATAAGGAAAATGTGGTACATTTACACAATGGAGTACTACACAGCAGAAAAAAATGATATCTTGAATTTTGCAGGCAAATGGCTGGAGCTAGAAAACATTATTTTGAGTGAGGTAACCCAGACCCAGAAAGACAATTATTACATTTACTCACTCATAAGTGATTTTTAAACATGAAGCAAAGAAAACCAGGCTATAAATCATTTATCTTTTTCTTGAAATGAAACCATCTCTGCTTCTTGCCTTGCAGATAAACTAGGAACTGAACACTGCTGAAAAAATTTCCAAGAAGGTGAGTCATTCTCCTGCTATGTAGAGTTGAGACCTCCGCAGAACCCACAGAGTCATGGGGGAAATCAGTACTGTTCCTTCAGAGAAGAATGGGGACAGCAGGACTGGTGCCAGTTGCTCCTGGTGCAGTGAATTCATAGCCGCTAGGTTCTGATGCTTTATTAGGGATGACGGCAGACACATTTATTCCACCTTTACTGGGACCAGAGCCAACACAAATGCATTTTGATTATGGTAGACAAGTGTAAGTACGAGCCAATGGAAAATGAGAAGGATTTAGTTATCTTGGCTGGAGAGTGACAAGTAACTTGTTGGATGTGGCGACTGACTAGATAAATTATAATCTAGTACATCAAAGAATTACTGTGAAATAGTATTTAGTGAAAATATATCAGGACTGTGTTCTAGTATTGCAATATTGTATAACATGAGAAACAATGGACTCATATAGTACAAAGATTCTCAGATTCACAGTTATTCAAATACATCTTTTGTTAATCATTCTTGAACATACTTATCATTTTCTTTCAATTTAGCAGTATCTCAATCACAGTGAGTTAGTTTCTGTCATCTTTTCTTTATACTGTTTGAATTTGTTTTTGTTTTCAGGTTTAAAATGTTGGGGGCTGAAGGAGAATTAAATAGAAATATATTTCTATAGCCCACTTTTAGAATATTTTAAAAGTTTACAATGTATACCTTAGAGTTCTTAATGTGGTTCTGTTTTGATTTGAATGTAATTATGACCTGGTTATCCCCTCTTGGAATAGAAGGTAGGCAACTTGTTTTTTATTTTATAAGAGTTCACAGTTGAGATACTTTAAATTTTTAAAGACTTTGGAATTTTAGGGAGACTGTGTATTTTTTAAGAGACTTTTGGTATTTTAGAGAGATATTGGTTATTTTAGAAAGAATCTGGGTGTTTTAGAGAGAGACTGGGTGTTTTGGAGAGAGATTGGATATTTTAGAGAGGCTTTGAAATTTGGAAGAGAATTTTGATGCTTATAGAGACTGGACATTTAAAGTGTTTAGCTTTTAAGTAGTGAGGCTGAACACATTGATATACAGAATCTGGTGGGCATAGATTGGCATTGTCATGTATGTACTAAATTGTGTAATTCTGGAAATTCTATTGAAGTTGGGATAATTGATCTAAATTCAAAAGCAAAATGACTTCAATAACAAAACAAATTTTATGTTCTCAAATAAGCGGAACCCACAAAAATTATACATTGTTTCTGTCATCACATTTTGGGTTATGTTGGAAACAGTTGTTTTCACAAGTGCCAACGCAAATAAAATCTTTCTATTGTAATTTTCTCTGGGATCTGAAATCAGTATTGTATGAAAATTAAAATGCTGGGACTGAACGAGCACATGATCCAACCAGATTCACTGAATATGGCTGGATTCTCTGAATGTGGCTGGCCCAGAGTCTTTCTGAAAAGTCATTGACAATGACACTGGGACTTGTTTCCTCTGTATATACTGGAGTTTTGGGATCCAGTCTGTTTGGATACTCACCTTCCTGGACCTGGAGGAGGGGGGAGGAACTTGAACTTCCCACAGGGCAGGAAACCCTGACTGCTCTTAGGGATGGAGAGGGAGGAGGAGAGGGAGGAGTGGGAGGGTGTTGGGAGGAGGGCAGAAATGGAAACTTTTATAATTTAATAAACTTTGAAAAAAAAGAAAATTAGAATGCTGCTCTGAAGAAGGGAGTTTTACTGTTGAGAACCTGTTTTCATCTCCTCCTTGAATATGTAGATGATCTGTTTTTTAATGTCTTAGGGCTTATAGAGTATGTTTTTTTCTTCATACTCTTCATTTTCCCTCTCTTGTGTTCTGTTTATTCTTGGGTTTCATTGATTATGAATGATGTTCAATTTTTCTCAAAAGAAAGAAGCAGTTAACAGGCCTAGAAATTAAAATCCATTTATAGAAAGGTCCATACAGGATGATTCCTAAACTAAAATAATATAAATTGAATTATTGGACTCTTTGCATTCTCTGAAGGTTCTCAAGGAACTACATAAACTGTTAATGAGCTATAAAGGAGGACACTCAGTCTGTTAGGGAATTTCCAGAAAGCAAATTTTTAGTTGCTTCTAATTTTCTAATTTTTGTTATTTTTTTCTTTACAAATTTATCTGATGAGTGTTGAAAGACCCGTGAATATAATAGTAAATTTAATTATACTCCTATTTAGGAGAATAAAATTAGTAGGTTTTCAACTAGTGACTCTGAGTCATCTAGTCACAGGGTTTTTGTCTCAGCAATGGTACAGGTTTCCACTCATGCGTGCCTTAGATCAAATCACCAAATGGATGGTTAATCCCACATTTATGTCACTATTTCAGCAGTGAGCATGTATTTCTGAATTGGTTGCTATTGTTCCCCCAAGGATCTACAGCTGAGTAAGGTTTTTTTAAATTTTCTTCCTCCAGTATTGTGCATAGTACCTTCCAGAATTAGAAAATCTAGCCAGTGGGGATAAAGATTTCCAGGTGAGTGCCAACTTGATTTCTCCATGTTTTGTGACTCAGTAATGTGGTGTCTTCTGTTTTATTTTTTTTAACTTTTTTATTAATTTATAAAAATTTCCACTTCCGCCCCTCCTCCCAACACCCTCCCACTCCCCCAACTCCCTTTCCTCCTCCCTCTCCAGTCCTAAGAGCAGTCAGGGTTTCCTGCCCTGTGGGAAGTTCAAGTTCCTCCCCCCTCCCTCCAGGACTAGGAAGGTGAGCATCCAAACAGACTGTAATAGATTCTTACCACAAAGTTTTGACATGTAACCAAGAACATTGTTCATAGTGTATATATTGGGCGTCTATGAGAATTGACTGTCCAGTAATTTCAAGAGAGCAAATCCATTCCTAGAACTGGGTATTTTGTTAGCCTATAGAAACATTGTTGTCCCATTATAGAGTAAATTTATGTAAATTCTTGATAGATAGATAGATAGATAGAATATACATATATGTGTGTGTGTGTGTGTGTGTGTGTGTACATATAAATATGTATGTAACATGAGGGCTGGCTTGTTGGGGTATCTGTTCCTGTCTGGTACCCCACAACCAGCAAGTCCCAGAGAAAATCAATCACACAGAGATCTCTATAAATTATAAAGCTGATTGGCCCATTAGGGCAGGTTTCTTATTAGCCCTTGTAACTTATATTAACCCATTATTCTGATCTATATTAGCCATATGGCTTGGTACCTTTTTCAGCTGTCAGCTCACATGTTGCTTCTCCAATGGTCTGGGCAGGAATGGCAGAGGGAGCTTCCTGCTTCCCAGAATATTCCCAGTCTCTTTGCTCCACCTCTACTTCCTGTCTGGCTTTCCCACCTATACTGCCTGCCTGGCCAATCAGCGTTTTATTAAAATATGATTGACAGAATACAGACAATTCTCCCGCATCATATGTATTAGGACGTTTCTACAGTAATACATTTTCTTCTCAGTTTTTAGAAATATAATTAGGGTTACTTACTCCTTTGTCTATTCCTTCTACTATCCTAGCCTCCCATCAACCACCCCATTTCACTCTTAAGTTTTCAAAGTTTGTGAAAATTATATAGAAAAAAATGTGAGAATACCTTTCCAAACAATGAAGAAAAAATTGGACACTCCTTAACAATAGGAACATGTTTTGTATATTTTGAAAAATATGGTCTCAGTAGTAAGAATAAACATAAATGAACGAGTGCAGATTATTCAAGTATTTCCTATATATTTTACAAGATAGAAACTTTTTAATAAATGATGAAATTATTAAAGGCCCTGGAAGGATTTAAGCATGACTTGTAGTTAGAAAACTGTGTCTATGAACAAGTACGTATCAGTAAGTCAAGTTTGAAAGGATAAAATCAAGAAACCACTGATAAAAATCCATCCAATAAATTCTAGGGTGCTGCTCTGAAAAACATGTAGATGTTTGGGAGATTGACAGTAATATGAACACAAAGGACCCATAGAGCATAAAATCTAAGCTCAGGAGAGAAAGGATGCTCCTGAGGAGAGTTTTGGCTAAAGCCTTAAAGGACAAGGGTCAGCATGGGCCATGTTACTTCAGGCATTGTTCATCAAGGATGAACAGGATGCAGTCCATTTGCATATAGATCACTTTAGATTAGGAAAAATCAGAAAAGCACAGGCAGATATTCAGGAATGAAGCACTAAATAAGAATAAAAAATAGGATTCAGGATTTTAACACTTATAGCCCAGACTTTAGAAACTGCAACAATGACTGATTCCAACACCTTTCTTCCCCCACAACTGCCACTGGCCTAAGTCACCTAACATGGCTACTGGGGAAGAATTTCCTAGACCTGTTTATTAATACACCCATTTTGCACAGTGACACAGTTGTATGTAATTCTGTTTTTCTCTCACATGCAATTATAGACATTATCAATTGGGGTCATTCACTAATACAGGGAAATCCTTGTTTTGGAATTGTCTGTATATGTGTGTAATCCTATGTCTATTTTTATCTTTTAGGATTGTCCATAATATTAGAGATAATGAGTGAGTTCAAAAAAATTGTTCTTCTAAAAGGATTAGAGTGTATGGAAGACTACCACTTTAGAATAATTAAGTCCTTACTAAGAACAGAACTACACCTGTCTGAAAATATGCATAATGATTATGACAGAATTAAGATTGCTGATAAGATGGAAGAGACATTTCCAAAAGATGCTGGACTCAACAAACTGATAGAAATTTGTCAAGAAATTAAAGATCTTAAAGGCCTTGTTGAAAATCTTAAAAAAGAGAAGGCAAAAGGTAACAAGGGGACCCCCCCCACACACACACACGTATCCCTTCCCCACCCTTCCCAAATGTTTAGCTCCCTGCAGTGATCAGAGCTGATAATGTTCCTTTCCAATTGTGTGCCCTAGAAATTATAGGGGTTGAAGTGTTTCAGATGTCAATTAGTTGAGGATTTCAAGGAATCCTTCTCAGAAACAAACGATATGTTTCTGATAGACATCTTTTGCTTTGGAGGTAAATGAAATAAAATGCAGTTGTTGTGATAGATTACAACACCCAACTGCTGTGTTTTCTGGCAGAAAGAGCAGGGCAGAGCCAGACCCACTGGATTCTCCCTGGGGCTGAACGGGATGATGAGTGTCACGACTCAGCCACCCTCCCCACTGGGCTTGGGGGTCGGAGGGAGAACACACCCACTGAATAGGGAGTCTGTCAAAGCAGAAACTCCTTTGTTGTTTTCAAGCAGGGGTTGTTATGGGGTTGGAGTAGCCTGGGATGGACCAAGGCAAAGTAAGAAATGGAGGTCCAATAATATTCTACCACATTTGTGGTAGCTGGGCAGAGGCGGGTCTAGGTTCGGTAGTCAGAGACAAGTCTCCAAACTCTAGCTAGGCTCAGGAAGTTACACTAGGCCTCACGCCAACTCAAGTTAGGCTCATGAAATTACACTGGTTCTCACTCCCAGGTCTCATGAGGCCCAACACTCACATGTTGGAAAAATTAGAAAATGATAAAGCAAAATTTTTTTAAAAAATCATTTAAAGCACTTAAATAGCATAAATTTAATACTTTAAACAATATTGAAAATACTGGTACACAATTCTGACCTGAGAATTTAGCACAAGGAACCTCAGTCAAGGAGACCTCCAGATTGAGAATACCCTGAGTTGCATAGAAAGATATATCCCCAATATAAAAGTCAAAATACAGTGTTACTATGTATTTACATCAAATATCAAATCATTAATCTTTTGCGTTTTCTGTGATTTGGAATTATCCTCCTCAGAAGTAACCCAATGCTATTATCATAAAAGCATCAGGTTTATAAAACCAGTCTGTGGGATAAGACTGTTGGCACAGGCTTGTACTGATGTAAACAGAAGTTCCTAGGATGAAGAAGCTGAGTCCACTATGCCTGAGACGAATAAAGAATTTCCTGAGGTAGTGCCTGTATCTGACTTAGTATCATTGGTGACTTTCAGGCCAGGTAGAGCCTCTGCAGCAGAAGAAAATAAACACACAGACACAAGAAGAGACGAAATAGTTCTTGAAATTGTTTCATAATATTTGATTGCACTTTCCGCCCTGAGAATGCATTATTTACTGAAAAGAAAACTGTTTCTAGGTTTGGTGTGGCTCAGCCCTAGCGGACACCTTTAATCCAAGAACTTTCTGATTGAATACTGTAAACAGGTTAAAACAAATTCAACCACATGCTGAGAGATGGAGCAAGCAACCAGTTGACAGGAAGTGAACACAGGGTTACCAGGAAAACAACCATAGAGAGTGGGAGGAAGTCAGGACAATGGATAGAAATAAGCACAGGAAGCCGACATGAGGAACATTCAGGTTGAGAGGTTTTGGTTTGAGACAATGAAGAAAAAGGGGTTTATGGTACATCTGTGGAATAGGAAAGTCAGCTGGGTGCTTTCTCTGCCTCTGTGAGCTAGCAGGCTTTCACCCCAACATCTAGCTTCTGAATCTTTATTGGTAAACATGAACCATAGAGGTTTTCTTAAAAACAGCATGAAATTGTCTTTCTGCAAAATCACTAATGAAATGGAATAAATTACCCATTTCATTTTTTTTTAAAAAAAAGAAAGACAAATAATTCTGAATGAGCTTCAGCCATCTTAACCTTTTCCCTAGATTTATTGTGTTTTCTTCATCCCTGTAGTTAAAAAGCCAAATAAAGGAAAAGTAAAAACTGCAGTGAAAAAAAGGAAGCAAGAGGAAGCCAGTAGTTCCCAATCTCTTTCCACTGATAATGAACCAAACAAGAATAAGCTCTCTTCAAAGGTAAGGTAGCTAATCTCCCACCAAAAAGTTTTTTTTTCAGGTTCTTCCCTTCTTAATTCTTATGAGAGATGCAGTACTCTATCTAATCCAAGGCTCTGTAAAAACAGAACTCTAAGTCAATAAATTCATAGTGGCCCATCCCTCATTCTGTGTCAAGTTTATCATGTGTTCTATGTTGTGCAGTATAACCCCCCAATATCAAGCAAAAAAAAAAATCACTGCATGGCTCTTTAAAGACCATTTACTGAAATAGCAGTTGCTTTGGGATGAGGTTTTTAAAAAAGATTAAACATAATATGGACTTTATAATTCTATATCTAATACTTTTCTGCCTCCACAGGCATGAATATGGTGAGGTAAATGTAATTTTTCTACTCCTCTATAAGACAATCCTATATGTCTTAGCTAGGGTTTTCATTACTCTGAAGAGATGTCCCTTCTCACAAAATGACTACAGCAACTCTTATAAAAGAACACATCCAATTGGGGCTTGCTTACATCCAGAGTGTTATTATTATTATATTATATTTTTATTTCAATAATTGGAAGCATAGCAGCATGCAGGTAGACATTGTGCTGGAGGGGTAACTGAGAGTTCTACATCTTCACAGGCAATGGTAACAGAGAGTGAGGCTGGGACTGGCTTGACCATCTGAAGCATCAAGTCCCACCCCTCAGTGTCACACTTCCTCCAATAAAACACACCTACTTCAAAAAGGTCACACCTCCTAATACTGACACTCCCTCATGACCAAGCATTCAAATCTATGAGTCTATGGGCAATTCTTATTCAAACCACCATACTATACAACCTATCTGTTAAGATTGAGGTATGCACAATGACAAAAATGTATTATTAGAATCCAGTAATAAAACAAAGTTTCTTATGGTCTTAAAAATATGCTTTATTTAATAGTAAAGACATTCCTAAGGGCTGGGAATAAAACTGGGTAGAAAAACACATCTTAGCATGTACAAATCCTGGGGTTCAATTTCTAACACACAGGAAAATCAATAAAGAAAGACAAACATTATTCTTTCAGAAAAAGAGTAAAACATCCACAGGAACTGAAGGTGGCAAGAAAAGGAAGCTTACCCAGGAGCAGAGTCAGCTTCCAGAAGCTCCAGAAAACAACACACAAAAAGATGAAAGTTGTCTCCAAACTCCTCATAAGCCTCCACCAATACCACCCAGCAGTTCCTCCAACAAGGTACCACTTTTATATTCCTAGTGCTTGCACCTTCCCAAAGCATATCACTGGGTCCACCACAGCCTTGGAAAAACATCTCACTGACCCCGTACTTCAGGAATTTTCCTCATATTATTAAATAGCTTATTAAGTTATCGAATCATGTATCACAGCCTCCATGGTATGGAAAAAGTTAAGTATTTATGAAATGATTTCTAATGTTGTCGACCAACTTTCTGCTTAGGGTTCAGAAGGAAGTATAGAGGAGACAGTCAGGAATAAACAAAGGAATATGTTAATCTTCATTGCCTTCTTTCTTCTCAGCCCTTTTCCCTTTGCTGGTGACCCAACCACAAAAGTTATTTTTACCATTATGCGTTCCTTTCAGCAGGTGTTTTGATACATACTCTTTCCATGCTTGGAAGTCTTTACCGCTGTTCATTCCCTAACCAAACATTACATAACTGTAATGATCACTTTTGCTGAGAGTCAGCTTCAGACCGCTCCCACCATGCCAAGGCATACATTAAATTCTTCCAGCCATTCCTGTTCTATGATGGTTTACTCCTTCGACTTTTTGAGGAACCCACACTCCAGCTTCAAAATAAGGCACACACAGAGGCTTCTTTTTAGTTAGGAATGCCAGGCCCTAGTTTGGCTTGTTTCTTGCCAGCTTTTCTTACCTTATCCTATCTGCTTGTTGCCTCTGGGCTTTTATCGTTCTCTCATGTAATTCTTACTTTCTCTCTTACTCTGTGGCTGGCTGGGTGACTGCCCCTGATGCCCCCCTCCCCTTGTTCTCTGTTCTCCTTCTCTCCTAGATTCTCCTTCTGCTTATATTCTCCGCCTGCCAGCCCTGTCTATCCTTGCTCCTGCCTCACTATTGGTTGTTTAGTTCTTTATTAGGATCATCAGGTGTTTTAGACAGAAAAAGAATCACAGCTTCACAGTTAATCAAATGCAGCATAAAAAGTCTTACACCTTAAAATAATATTCGCCAACAATTCCTCATCAAAGGGAATGGATTCTTGTTCCCATTTTGATGCCTTCTTAATAAAATTACAACCATAACCTAGAAAGAACTCCTCATTTAGTCTACTAATCATGTATATATATATATATATATATATATATATATATATATGGCATGTATTTTGAGAATCTGACTGTAATTTATACAAATCTCCTTATTTTATTGCAAGATACAATTATGTTGTACATGCTATGTAACCAACATTTAATCTTTTTAAATGGCAGAGTACTGGTATTTGCATGGAAACTCCTTAGGAACGTTTAATTAACCGTGTTTGTAAATGATGACAGCAATATAATTCAAAATGTACACAAGCCTGGAAAATAGGCTGCAGCTAGTAGTAGTTTTAACTATAATGGCTTCAGCTTCATAGCAATTGTTGCACTTGAAATGGCCATTGCAATTATTCAAAGGGATTTGCATACTAACTTACCTTCACTTTTAAAGCAAAATTTTTAAATCTTTATAATTTGTACTTTAAAGATTATATAAGTGTAATGAAGACTCTAACTAGATCGATTGCCTGAAGTACAAGTAGTTCTCACCTATGTAGAAGTTTTATTTAACTGAAGTTATGGCTATTTTAAAGACCTAAACAAGGGTTTAAATGGGTCTGGATGGGCTTCACGCATGTGAATCCAGTACTCTGTCAACTGAGATACATTTGATCCACCAAAACCTATCTTTGTGGTCCATCTTTTAGGATACCTGTCACACAATTTCAATAACATTACCTGAAAAGGTATAAGTGTGTGTGTGGTGGGGATACTATGTGAACAATAAAAATTGAATATGTGATGAATTGGAAAGTCTACATGAAGAAAAATATAGAAATGGCCAATTTTATATCATGCTTCATTTCCCATAAAATAACACTAAGAGTTGAATAAGGCCAAGTAATATTTGGACAGTTTTGTGAGATACTTGAGCTAGTATTCCATCCCAGACCAGTGAAATTTCAATACCTGACTTTTAAGAGGAGTTGTAATATCAATCACTAAGGATGGAGTCTTGGTGTTAGAAATACTAAGCATGTTCTAAAATACTTCCCTCAGCCCTGGAGAAAGCTGACAGTTTTGAAAGGTCTCTTTTCAAAAGAGAAAGTGAAAGGATGTACTTGGTCTTATTTCTAAAAACCATTAAGCAGTATTAAAAATATCTCAATCTTATTTTGCTTTAGAAACAGAAAAGGAAAAGTATCAAAAGCGAGAGTACTGTGAAGACAGAGATTTCCCAGGAAGAACAGCAGCTTCTAGAATTTTCAGCAACCAGCAACTCCTCAGCTACCAGGGAACTCCAGAATCACCAAGGACTCTTGACAACAGCTTTTAGCAGCCTCAGCCTCCAGATTCTCCAGACACCTCCATGCCTCGCTTTAAAAACGTCTCAGGGCTCTCCAGCACCACCCTGCCAGAATTTTCTAGCATCTCCAGTATCAGACTCTAGCATCCATCTGAACTCTCATTTTCATTTAATCCCGTCCAGTGGTGTCCAGGCTCCTCAGGTACCTTCAGCAACAACATCTGTAAGTCTTCTGGCTCCAAGGGAGTCTCCAGCAACAGTAATCAGTGCTCTCCATGATCCTCCGGGGTCTCCAGCAACTACAAGCAGCAGTTCATGCAGGGTAATGGCTTCCTACTCTCAAAGTATAATGACAAAAATTAGCACAAGCTTGCAAGAATTCTTCATTAATCTAAATGGCCACATAATCTTTTACTTAAATAATCACTATTTTTATTGTGTATAATTACTGATCCTTTCCTACATTAAATTTTAGAATACGTTGTATGTTCTGCTCCATTAAGAAAATGTCTGACTCAGTGATCACCTGACCATGCCTACTCTGTAAAGAGTATGCTGAGTCACATGCATATTTAATTTTGCACATTATACCTTTTATCAAGGTGTTGTTTTCAGATTGTGAATCGCTGCTGTAATTATATTGGAAATGTACTTCTTGATGTTAGAACACATCAGTTGGTAATCACAGTTAAGCCCCATCACCCACAGAGTGAAGTCTGCATGTTTCCAAGTCAAGGGTCACAGAGTGCTTCAGTTATAGCTGCCTCCCTGCACTGGTACCCAGGTCGGCCATGACTGTCCTCATCCTTCCTCTTCCAGTTCTACAGTGTTGCCTCCATTTCAAACTGCTCTCCTGATGCTCAGAAATGGAGTAGGATACTGAGAAGGCAGGTGATCAAAGTAAAATGACTTCATGAACATTTTCTTGTTCCAGGATTTTCCTCCATGCCTGTTATATTAGAAAAAGAAGAGCTACTAATCTGAACCCTTTCTGAGTAGCAATATTTGAGGGTATCTTCTAAGGATGCCTACCTATAACTATTATAAGAAACCTCTAATTTTTAGTCAAGGTTTTGTAATCAAACTCTTCCAAATGTTTCTAGAATGAAAACTTGACTAGGGCATTGGAGGCTTTGAGTTCAGCCCCCACAACTATAAGTATAATCCCTTCATCTACCAAGTAACATTCATATTACTGGAATCACTAGATAATAATTCAGGTAAATATCCATTTCTCCCTTTATTTAGATTATAGTATGGCAATCATTATTTAGATGTTCTCCACTGTACTCAGTGGAATTGTGCCTTATTATCTGTCTGAATTATGCATGTTTATCCTGTGTGTGTTTTATGTAGACACCAAGAAGGGGAAAAATACCCAAGGAACCTGCTAAAGAAGAAGGTCACCATCAAGATCCCAAAGAAGTGATGGTTTTGAAAGTAACAGAACCATTTACTTATGATTTGAATGATGGCAAAAGGATGTTCCACGCCACTGTGGCGACTGAGAATGAATTCTTCAGAGTGAAGATTTTTGACCCAGACCTAAAGAACAAGTTCATTCCAAATAAGATCATTGCCATATCAAATTATTTTGGTAAAAATGGGTTTCTGGAAATACATGAAGCTTCCTGTGTGTCTGATGTAGACAAGAGCAGAACGATGAATATTTCAAAAACACTGAGGCAAAGAGCCAATGCGACTCCTAAAATTAAAGATCTTTTCTTGCAGGCAAAGGGGACATATGTGAATGGAGAGTTTGTGGTATATGAGGTAAGCCATTGCGTTATTTGTGGTATTTCTTTTGCAGTCTGGGATTTTAAGTTTTAACTTGTCACTGGAATTTGCCCAAATTATTTAACACAGGAAGTAACTGCTCTTCATATCAGAAAGATATGACAATGGTTTCCTTGTTTGGGGACAGGGAGAGGCTCTTACCATTCTTCTCCATAAGGTAAAACCATGAAAAAAACCTTTAGAAATCGATTCATCAATACCTTTGGCATCTTCCTGGCTATGACAATGTATTATATCCATTATATTCCTAGACACTATTCAGTTTATAGCACATTTTCCTTTTAGAGTCTTTATCTTTGATAGCTTCCATGCCCATATTATTAGCAACTCAGTGGTGAAAAGAGCCAAACTCAAAGCCTACATATAGTTTGAGATGATGAAGCCATGACCAAAAAGCCAAGATTATTTCTTTAATGTGTTCTCATTATAATATTTACATTGTATCAAGATATTTTGATAGGGTGATTAATGTTTTAAATAATGAAAGGAAGAACAGTTTAACAGTCTAGTTTAATTTCACAGTTTATAACTAGGCACAACAAAATTGAGGAAATTCAAGGAAATCTGTGACTTTCTGGTGTTTTTTAAGTGCCAATGTACCAATTCATTAGAATGCTTGTTAAATGTATGATTCCATAATTCATTGTTTGTGAATCACTCATGGCTTTTTACTTTTATCTACGCTTTTTTTGACTGTGCTGGTGAATTTGGTTACACAATTAATAAGTAAACTAAGTGCGACACGAACTTAAACACCAGAACTAAAAGCTGTAGAATCAACTTATGAGGGGTTAGAAAGGAGTAGAGTGAACGATGTGTGCACAGAGCAAATGTGATCCATTTACAAAGGAGGTGTGTGTGGTGAGTGTGTGTGTGTGTGTGTGTGTGTGTGGTGAGTGTGTGTGTGTGTGTGTGTGTGTGTGTGGTGAGTGAGTGTATCAGTCTTTCTCTGTCTGACTGTTAGTCTCTATTTGTATGTCCGTGTATTTGTTTCTCATCCTATCTTATTTCTGTTAGTGTGTTCCTTTTGTTTCATTCTTGTTGGATTTCTTCTTTATTCACCTGTTTGTTTTCTTAAGGAAGAGAAAGAAGGTATGAAGTTGGAAGGGTAGGGAAGTGAGGATTATCTAGGAGGAGTAGAGAAGGGAAAATTATGATCAGGTTAGGTTTCGTGAAAATAAATTTATTTTCAATAAAAATTAAAATACATTAAATATAAAAAAAGACTTATAATAGTGTTTCTCAGACTGACAATGACCCACAAGTAGCCTTTCTTCTCAGGCGTCCTGAGATACCTAAGAAACCTGCAATGGTAACTAAACGGTTCTTGCTGTTTATTCTTGTTTTCATTTATTGTCCCTTAAGAAATCTCAGATACTCTTATATGTTACCATAGTATTTAGAAAGATACTCATTTTTTCCTAAAAACACCCAGCAGAAGAAATCATCAAGTAAGTGAAACATAAGAGTGTCTTCCAAGGACTGCAGTGATGACTCAATCATTAAGGCTAGGCCCACACAGCTTCAAGAGGGAATTCAAAGAAAAGATTTGTTCACTAAAACATCTTAAACTCTCTGGTTCTTGAAAACCTTTTTTTCAGTTATTTATTTTGTCTGTGAGGGATGGGAAGACACACAAAAACTTTTAAAGTAGTATGGAAGTCAGGAGAGAAGCTCCACAAATGAGTTCTCTCCTTCTACCATGAGTCCTGCTAACTGATCCAGGGAATCAGGCTTGGCAACAAGCCTGCTTACCCACTGAGCCATCTCTCTGGCCCTTGTACCTGTAATTCTAAACCTAAGAGCCATCCTTGCCTTAGCAGAGACAGTTTTATGCCGACACTCTTTATTCCTCGTAGAGGTGACAAGCTTTGACACCTTTCCTAAAAGATGACTGTTAACTTGTTTTTCAGAAAACTGAGAGGGATTCCTTCATTTACTATGGAATTGAAGATAAAACAGAGAAAATGGACGTGGTGGTCTATGGAAGACTGACCAGTGTAAAGTGTGAGCCAGGCCAAAAACTTCGACTTGTCTGTTTTGAATTGTCCTCAAGCGAAGATAAACCGCAGCTGAAGTCTGCAAGACACAGTAACATGCAGGTGTGTGCTCTGTAATTTAATATTATTAAGAATCATTCATATATGATTTCATACACACACACACATATAGTGTACTTGACTGTAGGTATTATATATACAGTCCAACATGAGAATAAAAAACTTTTCACATTTAATAATAAAATTCCTTCCAGTATCTTTTAAGTAAATATTTCTAAATCATAATAAAGAATATAAATTCAAACGTTGTTATATGTTTAGCTAAATGACAAAAAAGTATCTCATTTATCAAAGCAGAGAGATAATTTGAGAAAACTCAGGTTAATTAAGATGTATATTTCATATTCTTACTCTTTGATTTTTCAAATTGAGCAAAGACTAAAACACAAAGAACCTTGGAGCCTTCATCTATAATATTCAAATACTGTCTGTTGCAGAGCTTGATGAACAGAAGTCATAAGTTCCCAAGGATGCCCTGGGCAAATCAGACCACATTGTGGTAAAATCCACAATCCTTGTTATACTTACACATCGTTGGGATTCATTTTACACTTTATAAAAGGCCACTATAACCATGTGAACAGAAGAAATAGAAGGGATCACGTGTTCGTTCACATAGAAACACTCTTACAGAACCATGGTTCTCAGACCATCAGCCAAAGGTTCAAACCTTCCCCCATGGCAGCTGCAACAGCAAAGTCCTTTCTCCCTCTTCCCAGCCTGCTTGTTCAATGAGACTCTGCAACTCAATCTCTACCTCAGGGATGGCAGCTCTTTCCTCTCCTCTGGAGCTCTGTGTCATACCTGGCCCTTCCACCTGTGCTCAAGTCTGTAGGAGTGACTAGTTACTTTCATAGGCCCAAGTAGGGAAGAAAGCTGACTCCAAGGCCAGAGAGGCATTTAAGGAGATAGAACAGTGCAAAATGGAATGTGACCCATAGGGATGCATCAGTATCTCTGTACAGTGTTTGGAGCCATTTGAATTTCACTTGATCTGACCTCATCATCTTCTTCTTTAAGGTCGTCAATGTCAAAAAGAAAGTCCCTCAAACCTGATTCATATCTGAAAACCTGGATGCCAAGAATACTGTTTATGCATATAAGATCCAAGTCCAGAAAATAAATATATGTATGAACTGTTGCAATACCATATCTATTAAAGCCAGCCCTTTTTTTATGGTTTTCCATGACGGGATTTCTCTGTTTATTCCTTGCTGTCCTGGAAATCACTTTGTAAAACAGGTTGGTCTTGAACTCAGAGATCTACCTGCCTCAGCCTTCTGAGTGCCTGGATTAAAGTTCTGCGCCGCCACCAATGGACCTGCTCTTAATTCTAGGAAATGGTACTTTCTTATATTCTTTATAAACTTTTGTATGATCTAAGTTCCATGTTTTTATCAATAACTTTTATACTTGTTAATCTGTAAGTTTTACTTATAAAACTTAAATATAAAACTATATTTTCAATAAAGCAATGGTGGAAATAATGAAAATGACTACTGCCTCTAGAAATACCTACAAATATTATTTATATTCAAATATTTCACAAAATCTTTTTGATATCAATAAGAGGACCTAATCCAGACTAGACTAGTTCAGGTTCATGTACAACAAGACAAACTGTATCCTCACAAGGAACTTTTATGATGAATATTGTGTTTACCACCTTCCTCCTATGTTTAATTGTGTGTATATAATCAAATAAAATACTGTGTGGAAAGGGCCTGCACAGGAAGTAAATACCTACCCAATCTAATCCTGTCAGTTGAAATGAAGATCCACCTGTGTCACACCCCCACAGCACCCCAACTTCTTCGTCTCCTGAACCCCATGAAAGTGGCTCCAAACAAAAGCTGGGACCCTTGAGCACCTTTCCTTATGTGACCACTGTTGCTCTTCACACATATTCCTGTCTGCTCTGTATTGTCACTGTGCTTTGAGAAAAGTGTCAAGGCTTCTTCATAATCTGTAAGAGCCTTTACCCTAGTTTTTGAATAAAAGGGCAAGATTTTGGAAACATTTGGCTTGGATTCTGACCACTCTCATATACTGTAACAAAGATACAAGAAGAAACCACATCAAATGCTGAAAGTTATATCTTGAATTCCCAAACCTGCAGATCTGTGAGTATTTCATTTATCTTCCTTATATAACACTTTATCCGTAGTTTCCTGACACACCAAAGAACAGAGAGAAGAAAATGACTACTTTCTGTAAAAGAAAGAGACAGGGAATTGTATCTTACGTAGACCTAAAGTTTCAATTTGTACAATCCACAAATGCTATGCAACAAAGATAAGAGTAACAGTAACAAATCCACCTACACAAAGTAGACTGGAACCATTTTCTGTCTGTTTTGTATGAAAATTTTCCTCAGTAGGTGTAAACAAGTATCTACTCAGCCCAGACCAGAGATCAGATCCATATAAGTTCAATTTGTTGAATGAATAGGATTTATTTTTTATTGTGTTTCTTATAGGAATATTGATAAAGTGTTACTTCAGAAGCAGAAATGATTTTAAGATAGCTATGCCTCCAGTTCATCCCATAATGAGCATCAGCTCACAATACTAGAAATCTGGAGCACCCTTGACAGACTGTAGACACTCTGGAGAGTGTCTTTTTCAGGTAGTTCAGGTGGTCTGAGCCCCTTCTGTACAACTTGGTTGCTCTCTACTTTTCCAGTTATATTAGCTTGTCTGATCATGTCTAGCAACATCTTGCATATTCTTGAGGAAGGCGGAGAGAATTATATCTGGTTTCACGAACTTCTTGACCTTAATGATTTTGTTTGCAGGATACAAGTGCCCACCATTATTTAAATATCCTGCTATTCTGCATCCTTTTGTTAACCCTTTGTGTTTTGCCAATCTTTCCTCTTGGTGAAAGATTTTGGTTTCTTTTTGAAGGGAGATGCTGTTAATTACTGAGATGCAGATGTAGGGATTGCAGGGGCCCACAGTGACTTCGTTACTCTCTCGACTCATGAACAGAGAGTTAAAACTTGTCAGGGCCAAATAATGGGTTGTTTGATTAAGGGTGTGCTTACTAGATGTGTTGAGTATTAAGGAGGTTATTATGATTGTTTGTTCCCTGTATCATTGGTAAGGAAGTCTTTTGCACTCCCCTTTTTCTTGGGGTATATAAGGACTATGATTAATAAACTTGGTTTTTTTTCCAGTATTCACTGAGAGGCCTCCCAATTTTATCTTCTGTCTTATGTCTCTTTCTTTCTCAATCCTCACTCTACTTTCAGGCACATTCAAACAAGTAGACTCAACTAGACAAGGAACAAGCTTGGTGTCTGAGAAATTGGTAACTTACTTATCAAGTATTGGGCTCTCCTATTTAACTGTGACTTCCTTGGGCAAAAAGACTGCCAGTCACACAGCCAGTCAGATGACCCTTAGATCAACACTGACTGTTTAGAACAATGTACAGATACCCTTAGAAAACTATGTAATTTTAGTTCATGACTTCGCTCTCAAAGATGCAGCATCAGTGATATTTTACAAATACTATCTATCAGACTTTGCCTCTTCTGCTATAAAATTTGAGGAATCTACATAATCTGGGAATCCTCTCCATCTAGACTAGAGCCAGAGCACTTCCCCAATACCTAATAGAAACACTCCTGTGAATGGTGCAAACAAGAAATTTCCCTTGTATGTGAAGCACTCTGCATCTAGTCTACAGAAATCCTTCTCTGCTATCAGCAAACAGCTCAGCATCACCATGTGGGCTGAGTTGAAACTATCCTCTGAAAACTCTTAACAGAATCTCAAGATTAGTCCTACTATAGGCTCTTCTGCCTGTTTTTTCTTTAACTCTTATTATTTGGGCAATGAAGGTCAAGATGGATGAATCAACCCGTTCAGTCATTTCTCTTGGTCTGGCTTCATCCCTGTGTGATTCTCTGAAACGCAAAGGACTCCCCTCTCTAGAAGGGAACTCAGATCCTCCAAACTTGATGGGAACCCATTTACCCACCTGCCTACCTGTGCCCTTCTTTGTATCCTCCATTCTTCTCTCTCCAGAGTACTCTTACAACATCTGCTGCCTTCTTACTTCAGCCCCGCCACCTCCATCCACATAGGACTCACTGATGTCTGTGACCATAGTCAAAATAACTATGGTTGTTCCTCTACAGCTCTTCCTATAGATGGACTCTAAGACCAGTTTATCAAAACTATGGAGCCCGTCCTTCCCTATCTACATCCCAGTGTTTCTGAACCTGTGGGTTACAATTCCTTTGGGGCTTGAACAACCCTTTTACAGGGTCACCTAAGATCATCTGAATTAGGATTTATAACTGTAGAAAAATTACAATTATGAAGTTGCAATGAAAATTACTTTATGAATTGGGTCAACACATAAGGATGTCTTAAAGAGATGCACTATTAGAAAGGTTTAGAAGAAGTGTGCTAACTTAACATAAAGTTCTCCCACTGCACACATCTGAGACTACTTGAAATCTGAATCCAGAACTCCAACTAAAACTTGAGATTTGAAACTAGTTGGAGTCTGAACATTAACATTCAGACTGACCCCAAGACTGAAAACTAAGCATTATTTTCCTGGTCTAACCTATCAGGCAGGGACAACAGACGAAAAAACTGAACATCCACCCAGGAAAGGTGTTACAGATATCCTCTAGAGATGCATGGTTCCAACGACAAAAACAAAAGCAAAAACATAAACTATCAAGACAATATATCTGTGTCATAAGTAAGACAGCAACCCTTATGGGGATTCATGCACAGTGGGGGCTTCCTTCCAGATTCTGTATTAGGCACAAAACATAGCCAATGCCTGTTTTCCTAGGGATATCCCTCATTAAGCAGGAAAAAGAAGTTTAAGTGGCTGCTTTATGACTCTAGCAGAAAAACAGCAGATAAAGACCTTGCAGGTGCAATTTTAAAAGGAGGAAAGGGGAGGTCTGTGATAGAATGGGCTAGGATTCAGTGAGTGGTAAAGAAGATAGGGAACTAAGAGAAGGAGAAGGGGACAACAGAGAGGGGAAGCGGTATTTGTCTTGGAAGAACAAACAACTGCCTGTGAATAGAGGGTAGACAGGTGTGGGGCACATAGAGAAATGGCAGTTTACTAGGGTGTAGGGGAAAACTCCTCTAAGGATGAAGCATTCAATTTTAATATGGCATGTCAATTAGATAAGTCAAAGGGAGACTTCTGGTTGCAGTATTTTGGTAGTCTGCCTTGGGAGGAAGAAGTGGCCAAAGGAGGGAACAGACCTTGGTGGCTAGCTTTAGGAATTTATTCTCTTGTTTCTAGTCAGAGGTAATACATGAGAAGAGCAAGTACTACAAGAGTCACAAGGTCTAGTGGGCTAGTGTCCCTTAAAAGCCTATTGTAACAAGCCATGACAACAGCAGGTTAGCAGAAATATTTTACATGACAAGGAATTTAAAATAGCAACTATGAAATTATTAAAGAACCATAAAGAGGATATGAATAAGTAGCTCAATGAAGATCACATGAACACAAATAGTTGACTTTGTGGTATATTTGTTGAAGATGTGTTGTTGTAAAGAGGTCACTTGTTTGTTTCCTGGTCACCAGGCAACTCAGACCTGAAATAATCACACAGAAGCTATAACATTTAAAACATTGCTTGGCCCATTCGATCTAGCTTTTTATTGACTAACACTTATACCTTAACTTAACCCATTTCTAGTAATCTGTGTATTGCCATGTGGCTGTGGCTTACCAGGTAAAGTTCTGTCTGGCTCCATCAGGGATTCATGGCTTCTCTACAACTCTTCCTTCTTTCTCCCAGCTTTCAGTTTCGTTCTCCCCGCCTACCCCTATTCCCTGCACAGGCTCAAGACACTTTCTGTATTAACCAATAGTACTCACAGCATACAAAGAGAAATCCCACACTAATGTGTTACATTTATCTATGCTGTGGAACATTTATTTAATGATACAAAGATGTGTTGCATATTTTCATGTTGTATTTTTAACTCTGTGAAGCTGTCTTACTATGTGTCTAAATCACCTGATAGATCTAATAAAGTGTTGACCTTCTAATAATCAGGCAAGAGAAAGAACTGGCAGGACTGCAAAGTAGACAGAATAAATTGGAGGAGAAATATGGGGAACAGAAGGATCAAAAGAAGAGCAAGAAAAGAAGACACCAAGAGAGAGAATACCAGAGACAAGCCACCCAGCTACACAGAGGGACATAGAGTAAGTTGTTAAAAAGAGAGAGAGAGAGAGAGAGAGAGAGAGAGAGAGAGAGAGAGAGAGAGA